CCTTTCAACCATGATGCTGGCTTATCACCCACAAAGGGAGAGGGAAAGGGAAAGGGTCAGGAGGAGGAGCATAGACTGAGCAACTCTGAGACTCATCTTGCCTGGTCTCCTTCAGGCCACAGGGTCACTTTCCAAGGGAATCCTACGAAGCAGGAGCAAGTCAGCTGTGTCTTCCTTCTGTGCTCTTCTTGGCTGGAATATCCTGTGGCAGAGGCTGTGGCCTGAGAATGACACTTTAGTGGATCTGGAAGTGCAGTGGCTGTGGCTGCCCCCTACCCCAACTCTCCTTGCATCGTGTCCCCATGGATCTTCAGAGGACCTCATGGCTAGCACTGCTGGGGTGTGATACCACTGCTGTCAGAAAGTTGATGCACGACATCAAGTGGATGCATGGGACAATCTCTAGACAGTCTCTAAATGAAAAACATGAAATTTATGCTTGGAATAGCGCTGTAAAGTATTTGAAGCTGGGTGTGGTGTTGTAAGTCTGTAATCCTAGCACTGGAAAAGAGAACAAGTTCAAGAAAATCCTGGGCTGTATCCTCCCCACAACACACACACACACACACACACACACACACACACACACGAGAGAGAGAGAGAGAGAGAGAGAGAGAGCACTTGGCAAATAAAAAGTGAGAGGAACAAAACAGATAGGACAAACATAAAACAAATAGCAAGACTTTACAGTAATTATATTAAATGTAAATGGCACAAATTCAAAGGGAGAACAGATCATGTTACAGAGATGAAACCTCTCTTGTGTATAAGATTTAAATTTGAGATTTCATGGCTTTCCTTTGGTATATCTTAGTTTATGGGGGAAATCTCTCAAGCGAGCACCTATTTTTAATGGGATAAATTTATACTCTGTACCAGAAAGGAATTAAATTGAGAAGTCTTACAATTTTGCAGAAACTAAATATGGTAAAACATTCAGAAGAACCATAAATAGATATGGTTCATTTGACACATTTTATCTTATGTTTGCAGAAGAAATGTACTCTCAATGAAGGCATAAAGATGGTTTCCATGGAGACACTTGGTCTGAGAGGTTTACACATTGATACATGAACAGCAGAGTAAAGATTGTCTTCTACTTTGTAGACATGAGGTTGAGAAACACCTCAACACATACCATGGCCAGCAGAAAAAAGCCAGTGGAAGGAATGTGCACTTTAAAATGTACTGAGTGCCATTTTAGGAAGAGTTGATAGTGGTAACTTTAAAAATATAAATGTTGAGATATATTGTGAAACTCTGTTTAAAAGCAAATAAACAAAAAAAGTCAGGCATGATAGTGGTACATGCTTTTTATCCCAGGAGATAAACGCAGGTAGATCTCTGTGAGTTCAAGGCCAACCTGGTCTACATAGTGAGTTCTAAGCTATATAGTGGGACCCTGTCTCAAACTTTAATTAATTAGTTAATTTAAAAGATAAATTTCATGGAAGAAGTTTAAGGTGGGACTAGAGAGATGGCTTAGCAGTTCAGAGTGATTTCTGTCACTCCCCGTTGCTTAATTGTTGAATAATATCCCTCTCTAATGCAGGGAGCCCTTACTGAGAGCAGCCATATTGATCAGCTTTGTAAGTCAAAGGATTAGGGACACACTACTACTAAGCACAATGAGTGATCAGTCTCCCATCAGAAGTTTCCATAAAATATTACACTGAAGCCTCAAATGGCCTGGTCTTAGAAGAACTTCCCCCACAACCTCCACTATCAGCACCAGCTGGTCCATAGACCAGTGAGGATGCTCCTAAAACCCACCCATTCAAAAGCTATGAAAACCACATTTGTGTATGAGATGCCTGGTTGTCCCAAAAATGTTTGTCACTCTGCTGATAGTGATCAGATACAGATGCAGAGGATCCCACTCACAGGAGGTGTGAATGGGGGACCAGGAACTGGTGGCATTACTAAGCTATTGTAGCTACAGTATTCAGAGCCCAGAGTCCCCAAGGAGCTCAGCACCCCAGGCCCCTCCCCCCCAAAAACAATTCAGCTATCATGTGGAAGAGTCCCCCATAGTCCCTAGGACAAGCTGTTGACTCAGGCCCAACAATTCTCCATGCCCAAGTGGCTCCTGGGGTCAGGGCTAGCTTCAACTTACTTTCCCACAAGAATAGGAATAGGCTCAGAGCTGCAGAACACCTGAGATGAAGGTAAAGAACTGCTGTGTTTAGGGTTTCTGCAGCCAGGAAGGCCAAATCCAGTCCCAGTATGTTGGGGGCCCCCAATTCCCTTCCTCGGGGAGCCTGAGAGCATTTGGCTGCTCTATTCCTCCTGAAGCTTTCCTAGAAGATGTGGCTTGTTTTAGAAGGTGAGCTGGGGAGACACTGCTTAGCTTAGCCTGTGTCCCCTTGTTTCTGAAGGGGCCTAGGCATTAGATGTCTGTCCCTCATCTTGTCCAATGCCAAGTTGGACTGGCTTCCAGTTCATCTGAACTGGTTTGGCATCATCTCCTCAGATCAGCCTGGCTAGCAAGTCCAGACACACAAATAATGGAATAAACCCACCCATATGTCCAGGGCCACTGAAAATGCTGAGCTCCCACAGGACTGCTTAGATGGGCCACTCCTCAGGACCAGGACGAGTCCTCCCTCCTGCCATGGAGTTATGCTCCTGGTCAGAGTTGTCCAGAGTATGGTGGGCAGCCCCAACTCTGCAGCCTGTGAAGGGTCCTTGTGGCAGGCACACTCTGACCCTCAGTGGCCACCACTGGGCTATCTGGAGCCATGTCCTAATGTGGAAGCCATACCTTCCACCAGACCATATTTTTAATGAGGAATTAAATGTAGCTGCAGTTAAACAGCCACAGCCTGAAAACGACTCTTGCCCTCTTTTAATGCTTTTAAATAAACTCATTTGTTGAAATTTAACTTCTATGCAGAATATTGCCAAAGCATCAGGGTATGGTGTGCACGTTGGGGCGGCCCACTTCTGTAAAGAGTGTTTTCAGGGACCCAAGGCCTTGGGTCCTTTAGAAGCACCGTCCTTGGCTTTGACACTCCTTGTGTGCTCTTTCTGAGCAGAAAGCCACCACGTGCTCTCCATCCACAGCCTCCGTGAGAGCTGCTCCTCTGAGGGCATCAGTGGCATATCCTGCTGCTGTCACTTGGACCCTGGATGCTACGATGATTCCATCCTGCCGTGGGGACCTCTGTGGTGCCCATATGTTCACTCTGCTGGATGTGAACCTCAGGACTTGACACTAGGAGGCAGTCACTGTGGAAGGGCCCAGCTGGTTCTGAAGTAACCCTACCCGTCTTGGCACCGCCAGCTGGAGCACCTGGGGCTGCAGGCTCTGCCCACTCCAGTGGGTGTTGAGAGTGGATTTTCTTCTCTCTGCTTCTCTGCCGCCACAGAAAGGCTTCAATTTGCACTTTCCTGTGACTCATTAGACCAGCTAGACCCTTTGCTAATGGCTCTCTCCCTCCCTGTGGTGGTAGGGATCTAACCCATGGCTTTCTGCAGGCTAGACTGATGCTCCAAATTGCACCGAGATCCACCCCCAGCCTTTTGCTCATTTTTCTCATGAAGGGCAGAAGTTCTGGATCAACCCTGTGAAAGCCAACAGCTGCATGGCATAGCTCTCCCATTTTGGCACTTGAATCTGTCTCTTGTTTTTTGTTTGTTTGTTTTGTTTTGTTTTGTTTTCTTTCTTGCTCATTATGTCTTCTCATTTTTTCCTTCTTTGTCTTAGTGTCAGGTTTCTTCTTTGCATTATATTTTCCCTCCTACCAACTCCTTGATCCCATATTCCTTTAGTTTCCTTAGGGAGGGTTTCACAGGCTTCGAGATGGGAGAAATGCATCCTTCAGTTATAAAATTCTGAAAAAAAAACTTGTGAAATAGCATGCATGCCTATCTACTATCCAATTATTATATACAGTAGAACACTAAGTATGATTTTATATATTAAAAAGAGTAATGGGGAGAGATGGCTCAGCGGTTAAGAGCACTGACTGTTCTTCCAGAGGTCCTGAGTTCAATTCCCGGCAACCACATGGTGGCTCACAACCACCTCGAATGAGATCTGGTGCCCTCTGCTGGCCTGCAGGCAGAAGACTGTATACATAATAAATAAAACTAAAATAAAATCTAAAAAGAAAAGAACAATACTGTTAAAAAAATGAGTAATGGGGTGAGAAGATGGTTCATTGGGCAAGAATACTTGCACACGTATACCAGCACATATGCATACAATACACAAATACACACATGTAAGTAAATAAATAAACAAAGCACTTTGCAAACAACTGGAAGGTCTCATTGGAGCCCCACTCACCGATATGCCACGACTGCTTTCTCTTTTTATTTGGTTCCTCTAAGCGTGCTGTGTTCTCCCAGACTGGCCTGGGCATTCGTCCCTTTCCTGTTCAAAGCTCCATCCTGGATCATTCCCCTACTGTGGGAGACTTCTCTTGCACATTCCTGTTAGTTCATGTGTTTTGGCTGCAAATTTGCTCAGACTTTATTTGAAAATTCCTTCGGCTTACCTTGGTTTTTAGATGGTTGTCACAGGCATAGAATTCTAAGTCGGTAATTATTTTTCTTAGCACTTGAATGATCACATTCATTTACAGGCCTTTGATTTCTACTTCTCCTCTGCTGAGAAAGCAGCTGTCAACTTTATTTCTTTGAAAATTATGTCCGCCTCTTCCCGTCTCACTCGAATTTCCTCCCAACACCCTCTCAGCTTTGGATGTACACAATATAAACGGTACCATCTCCATTGTCTTCAGGCAAACAGTTCAGCCATCTGGGTCCCGATTTAACACCCTCTTGTCCCTGCCTGTGCCCCTAGGACCCAGCTTCTGAGTCTTGTCTTCTGTTTGATTGCATCAGGACCCTCACAAGTAGACTCGGTGTCTGTCCCTCGGTGATTGTGTTCTTGGAGCCCATGGACGTTTCAGCACATCTCAGAATGTCCTCTGTCCCTTTGCAGGCTGAGTGACAGCTCACTGTACGGACGGATGGCATTTTGGTTGTCTGCACATCTGCTGGGCATGTGAGATGACTCCACATGTGAGCTGCCGTTCGCAGCAGCGCTGTAAACACCAGGATGTGCATATCTCCTTGGGATGGTTTCTCCTTGTTTTGGAGGCTACACCTAAAGACAGGATTTCAGAGTTACATGCTAAACACATTTCTAATTTCTTGGAGAGCCAACATACTGGTTTCCCTAGCGGCTATACCATTGTATATCCCACCCACAGTGGAGATGGTCCCAGCTTCCCCACACTCTTGCTGGCATCTCTTCTTCACACTAGTTTTCCACACTGCTCATCCCACTGGGTGAGAGGAGGACATTTTCTTTAAGATTTTTTTCATTTGTTTTTTAGTAGCTTTACTGTAGTAAGTCTAGCTTTGGATTTCTTTAACAATCTTCTTGGGGTCTATAACTTTTCTTGGTTCTTGGTTTAATGTGTGTACTGACTAGTTTTTTTGTTTTGTTTTGTCAACTCTATACAAACTAGGGTCATCTGGGAAAGGGGGACCTCAAGCGAGAAAATGTTCCCATTACCTTGGCCTGTAGGCAAATCTGTGGAACATCATCTGAAATAATTATCCAGATTTCGGGGCCACTGTGATCCTGGCCTGTCTAAGAAAGCAGGCTGAACAAGCCATGGGGAGCAAACCAATGAGTAAGCATTCCTCCATGGTCAGTCTCTGCCTCGGTCCTTGCCTCCAGGTTCATGCCTTGACTTCATGAGGGACTGTAAGGTGTAGAATGAAATAAATTCCTTCTTCCCCAAGTTGCTTTGGGTCAGGGTATTTTATCACAGTTTGGGAAGTTCTGGGCCAGTAAACATTCAAATACTGCTTTGTTTGTTCTATTTAATATTGCTGCCCTAACTATTCCCTAGGGCTCTAATTGCATATATATTGAACTTAATTTTTTAGTTTATATACTCTGTGTGTGTGTGGGGACAGAGGCGTTGGTGAGAGGCTGTATGCATGCTACAGTACACTTGTGAAGGTCAGAGAACAATTTTGGGTAGCTGGTTCTCTTCTTCCATCATGTGGGTCCCAGGGAATGCAGGTCATCAGGCTTGGAGGCAAGTGCCCTAACCCTCCGAGTCATCTCACCAGTTCCTATTGTGCTTTTAAAAAACCATCTCCCACGAAACTTTGTTTTTATTCTGTGTATATTACCCATGTATGTGCCTGGTACCCACAGAGCTCAGAGGCATTAGATCCCCTGGAACTGAGTCTCGGGGGAGAGGGATAGTGAGCCACCATGTCGGTGCTGGGAACTGAACACAGGTCCTCCAGAAGAGCAGCCGAGCTGTCTCTCCAGGCCCTAGGATCTTGATCCCTTAGTTTTGCTTTGTTAGTTCTCTGGTGTCCTTCAGCAATTTTAAGTGTGTTTATCAAGGTCATCAGCGATAGCTATCAGGGACATTCATTGCTGTGGTACATTTTCTAGAAGCAGACTCTTCATTTTGACTTTGCATTACTGGATTTGGTGCAGCTCTGGGACACATGTGAGCTGTCTTCCCCTCCTTTCTTTCCAGCAATAATGACTAATGCAAGCATCACCTGACTAGTTGGAGTAAAGAAGCAGTTAGGCTGCTCACTGTGCTCCCAGAATATGACAGGGGCAGGCTTGTGCTCTGTGACCCTTGAAAGGTGACTTTAGATGTGTAATCATGTCCTGCCTATGAAAGCTAGGATGCCAGTCACAGCCAAAAATATGACATCCAAGGGCTGGTGAGATGCGTCAGTGGGTATAAAGGTGCTTGCCACCAAGATTGACAAGCCTGTCTTCCATCCTCAGGACCAAAATAATGGAGGGAGAGAACATACTCCTGCAAGTTGGCCTCTGACTTCCACATGCTCACTGTGGTGTACACACACACACACACACACACACACACACACACACACACACACACACCACTGAAGCACACTCAGAGGAATCAGGAGTGACACTGACTGTGACTTCTTTTCTTTCTCTTTTAACTCAAAACACAATGATGAAAACACAGAGGAATACTGAGATTTTTTTTTCTCAAACTGGTGACAAAGGGGAAAAAAACAGATTGAAAGAGACATAACAAGTGTCACCTGTCAAACTCAGTGTCCTCAGCCATTCAAGCACAATGGAAGGAGTAAGTCAGCACTTGGGAGACACCGAGGAACAAGAACCAACCTGAGGCTGGTGATGTGAGGATTTGTGACTGTCTCGAAACCCATCATCATGCCTAAAAATACAGGTCTTTATTTTTAGACATGCACATGGAAGCATTTGCAGGAGATGTCACATGACGGCTCGGGTGTTTCTCAGAATACAGAGGAAGGAAGAATCGGGAGGGAGGTCAAAATAAGGAAAGGGGGAAGACTGGCCATGTGTCAAGCTTGAATCCGGGAACAGGATGCACGAGGGTCCGCGATCGCATTTTGCATGCCTGGAATTACATATCTTAAAGTGTTTTAAATATGCCAAGAAGAAGAGAGAGCTTCTTAGCCTCTTATCTTTGCATCAGCTGTGGCTCTGCCTTGCTTCTCCTCATTATTCTTCAAGTTCCTAAGTAGACAACTGACTACATCAACTTCTGTCCCAAACCTCCGTGGTAAGCAAGGAGCTGTCTGCTGCCTCTCATTTCCTAGAGAAAGACCCTTAGCTGTGGCCTGGCATCCAGGACCTCTGGAACCAAAGAAGAGGCCCTAATCTCTGAATATTTGGTCAGGTTTGGGGTGTCATCCTGTTCTAGATGACAAAGCCGTCCCCCAGTCCAGCGGGGCTGGCAGAGGAAGAGACACGGGGCACCAGCCTTGTCTAGAACTTGCTTTTTCACTGGAAAGTGGCTCCTAAGTGGCAGCCCAAGTCCCGGCCTCTCCTGTTTGCTGGGTAGCACAGCATACATGGGCT